CCGTTGATACATAGCAGGGGGCCAGGTATATAATCAACAGGCCCACTTGTACCCCTTGCCCCCATTTCACAAGGAGGGACTCCACACCGTCTATCTGAGGTACAGTGGTCTCCCTCGGACATAGGCTCTCCCTTATAATGACCGCTACCCCACCGCCCCTACCCCGGGTCCTTGGCTGATGGAATACCTGGAAACCCGGTGGGCAGATGTCCACGAGGGGCACACCCCCTTCCGTGCCCAGCCAGGTCTCGGTGATACCTGCCAGGTCCGCACCCCCCTCTTGAATAAGATCTTGGATGAGGGGGGCCTTGTTTACCACGGACCTGGCATTGCATAGCATCAGCCGGTGATCCCGGGCCCGAGGGTCTAAGATCCCTAGGGGCCGAGTGGAGTCCTGAGGACCGGAGCACCCACAAGCTTGTAAGCAGCGTGTGCGTGCTCCCAAAACCCGATGTGGTCCTCTGCTCCCGCCATATCTGCCCCTAAATAAAAAAAGTTGTGCTTATCTTATTACATTTAGTGTTGTTACTTTTGTTTCTCCAATCTATTTTGTTTCTATATTAGGTATTCACCCAATTCTGTATCATCTGCAAAATTTATAAACCTTCCTTCTGCTTCCTATGAACACCTCTAGAATCTCTGTGTTTTCCTGGAACCTGATGTTTCCCTACCCCACACATGTGGCAGTTCTCTTATTGTGTTTTTAACAATCTTAAAGTTTAATTCTGCATAACTGGTAGGTAGATAACACTGAACGAAATAGGACTTGTATAGCACTGCCTTTTCTGAAAGATTGTTAGCACTTTGCCATCTTAATTGAACAATTAATACATCTTTTTATTTTGCTTTGAATATATCAAATGAAGTTCTTTCCAAACAACTTTGATCATTAACTTTCCTCACCCATCTCTACAACTGCAGTTCCTATATCTATTATTTCTATGTAACTTATTCCTCTTTTTATCTCTTATATTCTTTTTGGGTTTTTTGTATTAAGGTTCCACTAAGCTTTTCGTACTGTTATACTGGCCTCTTCTGCAGGCCTCCATTGGAAGTATGCAGTTGCACTTTTATTATTGTCTCTTTTCTTATCACCTTCTCCCTTGAAATTTTACATGTCATTGCTGTAAGTTCATCAAAATCTGCCTTTTTTGAGCTCCAAGATACACCTAGAGACAAACAAAAGTCATTACTAAAAGCCAACATGGGTTTGTCAAAAACAGATCATGCCAGATTGCATTCTTTGACCAAGTGACAAAATTAGTGGACCAGAGGAATGCTGTGGATATAATTTACTTGGACTTCAGTAAGGCATTTGATAAAGTAGATCACAACCTACTACTTGATAAAATAGAAAAATGTGGGTTAGATAGCATCACCACCAGATGGATTCATAGCTGGCTGACCGGCCGTACTCAGCGTGTGGTCCTCAATGAAACTGCATCCACATGGAGGGAAGTGTGTAGTGGGATGCCCCAGGGCTCTGTTCTGGGCCCAGTGCTCTTCAACATCTTCAACGATTTGGACGAGGGGATAGATAGGGAACTCATCAAATTTGCAGACGACATCAAGCTGGCAGGAATAGCCAACACTTCAGAAGACAGGCTTAGGATACAGGAGGATCTGAACAAACTGGAACACTGGGCGCTATCTAACAAAAT